TTGCACAGAGATGATGTTATCAAAGGTAGAATTGCATTGTGAAGTTATGAGAACATTTTTCTTCGTTAAAAAGAAAAAAAATAACCTAATCCTACGCAGAGTTGCGTTATTTATATAAACTGACAGTGGTTAAAAAAACTAACTAACAGCATCTTGATTGAAAACTAGTGCCAGTCAACATATTTAAAGACATTTGCCCTGCCAGCACATGAGTATCAGCTGAGATCAACTACTGTCACAACAACACAGATCAATTTACCTTATCCAAGAAGTGATTTTGATAGTGAAGGAAAAACAAAGAGAGAAATTGTCACCCGCATTGGCAAGGCTGTTAATAGCTTGAACAAAATATGGAACCCTATAAACTGTTTAGTTTTAAAACCAAGTTACGCATTTTCAATTCTGATGTTATTTCACTTTTCAGATATGCCAGTGACAGCTGGAGAACCACTAAAGATATAGGACAAAAGCTGAATGTCTGAGGAAAACTTAAAAAAAAAACACATTAAATGAATTCAAACTAGAGTGATGAAATAAAGGAAATGTGAGAAAACAATAGCATCAACAGTGATACAACACAGAACGTGGCACTACATTGGACACTTTGTAGGAAGCAACCAGCAGAGAATCACCAAACAGGCATTATAATTGGGAAACGATAGATTAAGGAGACGAGGGTAGCCTAAAGAAACCCTTAAATGAACGCTGATTAAAGAGACCTACGCTGCTTTAATAGATTTTATCCCTGGTATTAAACTGATTGAAAGGATAGAGCGAAATGGGGAAGTGGACTGAGGGCCCCATGTGACATATATTGGCACAGCAAAATAATGAATTAAAGAATTGACATAAATGTTACATTTTGGTTGCGTCTGTGGTAAAATTAATTCATGTATTCTGCCTAAAACGTTATTTTTGTGTTTGTTTTGGTGCTTTCGTTCTCTCGTTGTAAACTATAGGATCATTTTCACTTAATTTTTTTTAATCTGCCTGTGCAGTCTAGACCCCTTTTTGAGGTCCTGCATTACTATGAGAACTGTACATTAACACTGTGCTAACCAATGTCGTCAAGATGAATTATTCAATAATCCAATGTCCAAAGTCTGAAGTGAAAGCCAGAGGCCGTCCTAGGAGAACATGGGAGCTGATTTAAAGAGCTTTTCCATTGACACAGAAAAACAGTAGCCATTGCTGCCCACCAAGCAATGGATTGCAAACTGTTCCTTCCCACAACGCTTTACGGCAGAAGTGGAAACTGATGATGATGATGACAGACGGTGTCTCGTTTATTGGTCTAGCTTTTCGAATAAAAAAAAAAAAAAATACTCACGTGCACATTTTCAAATAAATGTTTCAACTAGACATATGTGAACTTGTTTACTCTGTCGAGAGATATATATTTATAGGGCGCACTAAATAATAATGTACAGGCTGTCTCTTCACGGCCAACAGAATAACTTCAATATACGATGCTGAAAATAGAACATACAATACCTTCACACTTGGGTCCCGTCTGGCGCCCTGCACACGACAAACAACGGCCTGTGTCTCTGTCACACAGATTAGCGCGACAAAATATTGGACAGGAGAGAGCGCAGTTCTTTCCAAACCAGCCTGGTTGACATTCTGCAATATGACAATGGTACCAGTAGCGTTTGACAAGTAAAACCTCTAAGGACATAACTTTGTTATTAACACTAAACATTCATTTTCTGAAACCTTCGAATGTCCTGTGTGTCAGAAGCCTGTTTGTACAGTCATGTGGCGGTGTAGACCATTGGGACGGCTTACCGTGTGTAGGGGTAGAACCCAGAGTTGACGCACGGGGTAGCACAGTGGAATGCATGACTGTCCAGGTATGTGTTGTTGTAACTGAGGGGAAACTACCCCTCAGCGAGATCCAGTGTTGACCGCGATTAAGTGCTGGAAGAGTGAACTCTCTTTCTGGTGGTTTTATGTTTGCTGCCTATCCCAAGCTGAGCGAAGGGACCCGTGACCAAAGTCACGAGTTGAAAGGCAACCGGGCATTCGACTTCCAGGCTTCAGACCGGAGACAGGGACGTGCTTAGTTAGATATATGTAGAACGTTAGGTGTTAAAATAATACTTTAATGACCGCATAGATTGTGTTAAGTGTTACTTTATGGTAGGATAGCTTCTCTTGTTGTGTTGCGTTTAACAGTGACAGGTTTTGTGTAGTTTCCTAATACGTAAGTAGTGTGGTCCAATGACAGGGGGAAAAGAGCGTATCTAACATAGGTGTGGTTTGCGGACCTGGAGTTTGCCCGAAAGAACGCACTGGAGTGAATGTAAAGGGGTTCCTGGGATTTACAAGAGACACCCCGATTTTGTGCATGCGATACATCCTTGCATTGCCGACTATTGCAGATAGGCTAAAGTTGCTGCAGGCTAAGTCAGAACTCAGAGTGGCTCAGTCACCGAACACCCTCTGCAGGTAAGGGTTAGAGACTAAAAAGGAGAAAATCGTGGATGGCTCAAGCAGAAGACAAACTAAGACAAGTATGAATGCTAAAGAATATTGAGAGGAATGGGTCAGAGAACCAGAATGATTGTCTGACCTATGTAGGGTTATGATCACTTTGTGCCGAGAGTTCAGAGAGGGCCAGCGGGGGCTACTGGGGTGGAAGTCAAACAGTTTATTCCGATAATTCTCGCCCAGATGAACTGATTATCCCAACATATGGTTCTGTATTGAAAGGGAAGAGAGGTGCCTGGGGTTTTGTAGCAAACACTAATGAACATCTTCAGAGCAGGACAGCCTGGCATATGATACCACGATATCTTGCATGAGAATGACGGTAAAGGCGGTCACTGCAGCTTTATAGTGGCTAGAGAACAAGATACTCTGAATGCAGGCTGAAAAAAAGGTGAAGACTGGATTGTTTCGATCAGAGAGACGCGCTTCACGTGCAAGGTCACGGGTAGTGAGCATACTTTGGATTTTTTCTCTAGGCGATGCAGGCTTGGTGTGGAATGGACAGGCAGAGAGACTGGCTAGATTTACACCGCTGGAGGGTTAACTGATACATGACAAGGCACATGTGGTCACTTTGGGAACAAGTAAGAAAGTCAGAAGATAAACAAGATTATCATCGTCTGGAGAGAATAATGCACCTGGGTGTTACCAGAGAGTTTAGCCAGGGTCGAACCATTTTTGGCATCCCCTCAATACCAGGAATGCACACCAGCAGCCACATCCTCGTCAGAAGCATTTCTATTTCCTTTCAAATATCCTCGAATGTTAAATGTTTGAAAAAAAAAAAAAAATGGCATCTAGGCAGTCAGGATACTCCTATAAGGGCTCTGTCGCCATCTTCAGTAGAAAGCAAAGAGTTCCAATTCTGATGGAATCAGTAACTGGCTGTGTAATCCTCTCGCCTGTCCCTTGAGTGCTGAGCGTCGGGCCAAATTCCCGGCTAACTCACTGTAGCGCCATTCTTCTTAGACCTAATGATCTATTTGCGCCTCTGCACTATTCACTAGCTCCCAGAGGGCATTCACAATATCTAGCTTGTCATACACCTATTCATCACCACCTGGTGCAGAACCGAACAGTCTATCTTCCTGCTCATTTTCACATACACCTGCATTACCTGGAGAAAATATCCAAAGGACGCTCTCTTAACGAGACCTCTTAAGTGATGTTTGCCACTCTGCACGATACATGCCCGTCTTCACCTTTTTCAACAAGCTCTCTGGAGTCAGTGACAATTACGTCTGTGAACAGTTGATTCTCTAGGAAGCGGCAAGCAGCTGTCACTACCCAGGCTACCATTCTCAAACTAGACGTGAAATCATAATCTATAACACTTAGAACAAGTCCCTGATAGAGCAGGAAAAGTAGGCGTTGCTCAAAGTCGGCGTATGCCATCGCCTTCAGCGCTGCCAGACGTTTCCTGGCTCTAACTATGGCATTGTCTACATTTTTGTATGACAAACATCAGTCAAAGGTTATGCTAAGGTATCTTATTGAGTTCGTACTATCAATGTCTACACCGCACATGCTCACGATTGGCGTAGGTCTACTGACTCTGTGGGTTTTCAAGGAAAACCATATTGAAGAAGCCTTTGCCGGTTTTATCTGTGCGCTTGATTCCTGGCACCACTCACTGAGTCGGTCTAATTCATGCTGTAGCGATGTCGTAATTTCATCCCCGTTGTTTCTTCGTGGGTACACCAGAATGTCTTCTGCGAGCGATATGTATCTGCCCAGACCAACTATCTGTGCACTGGTGACTAATGGCGTGTACACATTAAAGAGAACGGGACACAGTGGTAATCCCTGCGCAAGCCCATTAAGACTCGCTGAGGTTCGATACCCACGCACTGCACCTCATCGATACCTTTCTTTCGAAGAGCGCTGCTGCGATCCAGTTGACCCATTTCGCCTCTATGTGCATATCCACCATCAGCCTGACAAGCATGTTGTTTGTAAGGCTGTTAAATGCGTCTTCTAAGTCAATGGCGGCTGCCGCAGTTTTCATTCCGGTCTGGAAGTCCTCATATGTTTCGTAAGCAAATACTGCAGCATTGTACCAGGTATCTCTGCTCGGGCGGTACCCACCTAGCGTAGGTGCCTAAAGACCACTTGACTCCATTTGTTGAGTCAACTGTCTGGCGACAATTATTTTTTTAAGGGTATTTTTTCGGCCTTGATAATTTGGGACCGTTATTCAGATCATAGCCCAATATTGTAAAAGCCATTAAGGCGGTGCACAAAAGTGTCTTTAGGATATGAAACGTATTACTCTATGTCGTATATAGTATATTGTTTTTGCCATGTGCATGCTGATCCTTTTGAAGTCTGTAAAAATGCATTTGTTTCTGAAACCTAGGTTCCATTATCTTCATTATATCCTGTTGTCCAGTGTAATCAAAGCATTGATAGATGATACATTGTAAAACATGGGCGGTCATCAAAACGTCACTGACATTGAAGCCACTATGTAAATAGACTCACCTACATCACAAAAAACTTACCCTGACACTTGAGTCCTGCAAAACGCTCGGTACACGACACACAGTCTCCTGTTATCCTGTCACATATCTGACTGCGACAATTTATCGAGCAAGCTTCAGTGCAGTTCTCTCCAAACAAACCCTGGTTGCACCCTGAAACACGGAGATTGTAACTGTGATATGAACAGACATGTTTTCATAAGTGCAACCTTTGAAACATCCTTTGAAGTTTTATGCGAAATTAGAACTATGAGTAATAGAAATACGTTCTGGCAACAAACACACATGAATACACGAACACGTACTAGCGCGCACATGCATGTCTGTGGTACATTCTATTACACAAACATTACGTGTTCCGTATGAGAGGTTGGTTATTTTTACGCCGGTCTCCCCAAACACACAGCGTTTGACCCTCCATGCATGCTTCCAAGGACGCGTCTACATCAGGGGCGTGTTACTGTAAGTGTCTGTCTAGTCCAAAGACTGCCGAGTGACCCCGATACTTCCAAGGGGCACTATCCTTCAGTGAAAACAGAATGCGCTGCCGGTGGCAATTACTCACGCAATAACCTCATCTAGACGACAAGCAACTCTTAACACACGCAACTCTTAACACACGCAACTCTTAACACACGCAACTCTTAACACACGCAACTCTTAACACACGCAACACAGAAGAAACGGCTATCCTCCGAATGACGGAACCAAATTGTCTAGGCTAAGGAAATAACCTAACAGGGCCTCAGTCATATGTAAATTGAAGACCTCCTTACAGCGACTTTTCCATACAGTGCCCAAAAAGCTTACGCCGAGTTAATGTCACCGCCTAGAGTTTACCCAGCGCCGCATCACGTTTCATTATGTATGTATGTATGTATGTATGTATGTATGTATGTATGTATGTATGTATGTATGTATGTATGTATGTATGTATGTATGTATGTATGTATGTATGTATGTATGTAATGTAATGTAATGTAATGTAATGTAATGTAATGTAATGTTATGTTATGTTATGTTATGTATGTAATGTATGTAATGTATGTTATGTATGTAATGTATGTAATGTATGTAATGTATGTAATGTATGTAATGTATGTATGTATGTATGTATGTATGTATGTATGTATGTATGTATGTATGTATGTATGTATGTATGTATGTATGTATGTATGTATGTATGTATGCATGCATGCATGCATGCATGCATGCATGCATGCATGCATGCATGCATGCATGCATGCATGCATGCATGCATGCATGCATGCATGCATGCATGCATGTATGTATGTATGTATGTATGTATGTATGTATGTATGTATGTATGTATGTATGTATGTATGTATGTATGTATGTATGTATGTATGTATGTATGTATGTATGTATGTATGTATGTATGTATGTATGTATGTATGTATGGATGTATGTATGTATGCATGTATGCATGTATGCATGTATGCATGTATGCATGTATGCGTGTATGCGTGTATGCGTGTGTGTGTGTGTGTGTGTGTGTGTGTGTGTGTGGGTGTTTGTGTGTGTGTGTGTGTGCATGTGCGTGTGTGCGTGTGTGCGTGTGTGCGTATGCAGGCAGGCAGGCAGGCAAGCAGGCAGGCAGGTAGGTAGGTAGGTAGGTAGGTAGGTAGGTAGGTAGGTAGGTAGGTAGGTAGGTAGGTAGGTAGGTAGGTAGGTAGGTAGGTATGTATGTATGTATGCATTATATATTCATGTATGTATGTATGGGTGTATGTTTGTGTGTAATGTATATATGCATGTGTGTATTATGTATGTATGTCTTTATGTGTGCATGTATGTATGCATGTTTGTGTATCTATATGTATATATATATATATATATATATATATATATATATATATATATATATGTATATATATATATATATAAATGCGTGTATTCATGTATGCATTTTTCTTCTATTATGTATGTGTTACGTATATGTACATGTAAGGATGTGTATTGTCTGTGTGTATATATATATAAATATATATATATATATATATATATATATATATATATATATATATATATGTGTGTGTGTGTGTGTGTATTTTGTATGTATGTCACTCCACATACCGATATAGCGTATGCATTCTAAACACTTTTTACAGGCTGTCTCATTGTTGCATTCTAACTGATGTTATATTGCCTCAAATGGTGGCTGTTTAGCATGTCTTGTAGTAATCACTGACGGAATTATAATCAGGACAAAACCTCAAATAGCAATATTGATATATGATATATGGAAACATGCGGACAAGCATCAATAAGTGACAAACATTAAAATATTCTACACATCAAGAAGAGAAAAACATCAATACGTGATCAACATCAAAACGTGACAAACATCAATACGTTACTGACACTGAAGCCACTGTGAAAAACAAATGACCTAATCCCAATATACATACACACCCTGACACGTGGGCCCAGTCCAATGGTCAAGACACGACAAACAAGCTCCTGTAATCCTATCACACAGGCCATTCTGACAGTTTCTTGGGCAGACATTACTGCAGTTCTGACCAAACCGGCCTATGTTGCAATCTGGAACACAGCAAATATAACTGTAGGGTGAACACGACAAATATAACTGTGAGGTGAACATGGCAAATATAACTGTGAGGTGACCACGGCAAATATAACTGTGAGATAAACACGGCAAATATAACTGTGAGGTAAACATAAATGAAGTAAACATTTCCATTCCCAATATAATTCTTCTTGGCAGTCGGACAGAAAATGACGCGGTAGGCTAGGTGTCACTTCAAAGAAAGTAGCCCGCGAGATTAATGCGCCGAGGAGTAAAGAGGCTTCTCGGAATTCTGAATATTAATCCAGAAAATATCTATCCAACAATTGTAAGTTTGAAAATTTAGACTTTTCAAGACAACTAGAGTCTATAGAATTACCTATTTTGCCAGGTGAAGGTATAAATAGATATGATGAACTATATACCCACCGGACGGGTATATATTTGAAATGTGACCTGCGCGCTAGGGGCGCCAACGTCCCGAATAGTCGAATGTGCAGGGTTAAGTGGATCACTTCACGACAATCCTATCCAGTACACTTGACCATGTTCTGTCTTTCCACTTTAGAATACAAAAATATTCAGATGCAACACCAACAAGCATAATTGAAAGTTAAATACCCACAAATTCAGTGAACATATTCCAAAACAGTACGAAGAGAGAATTGTTCGTCCTACCAAACACATACCAGAAGATACAGTGAAAACAATTTATAAACATTTTTATATTTATAAAAATCTACCTGGTATTACTATTTACCATAATTAATGGTATATTTTAGCACTTTCAAGTCGATTGTAAAATTTATCCATGACAAGTCCTTCTGTAACAAAGATGTACCTAGCCATGTAAACACTTCGAAATCTGGTTTTGGGAGAATGCTATTTTTTTTTAATCACCAGTGAAAATTGAATTCGTTGAGCGCAAAATTTCTAAAAGCGTTTTGAGAATTCACGAAAAAGAATTACTTACAAAATTTCGACCTTAAAAAAACTTTTCCGCCAGGAAAGACATCCGAGGTTTACTTGGGTTTATAAATGGTTATTTTCAGCTAATCTCAAATTTTAGACAGGAAACTGCAGTCTTCAAAGATTGTTAAAAAAAAAAAAAAAAGGGCACCACCAGTGCGACAGGTAGGAACCCAGAACATGACCTGGTCTTCTCCTGATTTAAAGCTTTCCATCATTCCTCCCCTTATTTCGAACTTACCCAATTTAAATCAAATTGTATCCTTATATGTGACACTAGGGAAGCGGTTGTAGCGGGCTGTCTGGTGCAGATGGAATAAGACATAAGCACTCAATTTGCTATGTAAGCAGATAATTGACACCCGCAGAAGAAAAGTACTCCACGGCAGAAAATGACTGTTTGGCGGTGATGTTCACTATTTCAAACTTAAAGAAATTTCTCCTAGGTGAGCTAACTTTTTTTACAGGCAGACAAACAGACGTTAACAATAATAAAATCAGTCATGTCCAAGAATAGTCGAATAGCTCTATCGGCATTACTTTTTACGAACTACTCTTTTTAAATTAGTCACATTAAAGGCGTTTAAAATATATTTGCTGATCTATTGAGCAGATTTTGAAACTGCGGAATTTCATTATTGCTTGTCGTTGTCACCCAGAATATACAAGATTGTGGAAATCTAATGCAGCCATTTGTCTTCAGCCAGACAGACAGACATTATTTGTTTAGTTCACGTTTGAACACTAACTACAGCTTACCGTAGGAACATATGGTATAACAGAATATGTAGCCCGTCATTCGCGTTACCAGACTACTCCCATGGTTACAGAATTTGCAATATAGGGTAACAATATATTTCCCTGGGTAATGTCAGTTTTGTGCAAAGATGTGCATCGCAGTTGTAAAAAATTTCAGCTGCAGTGTTGAAACTACTTTTAAGAAACTAGAATTCAGAGTGACAATCCAGAAATTTGAATAATGCAAAATATGCTGTTTGTGACCGTATTCCTTTCAAACAATTGTTGTAATCATCAGTCACCTTAGAATTCCAAGGACTTCTGAAACTACAGTAAAATTGTTAAGAACGAAAGAGGAATGAAACTAGAGTAAATTGGAACAAATGGATGAGTGAAAGATTCTCAATATTGATATATCTGTTTAAAGATGATATGAGTGTAGATATTATTATGTTGTTGACTTGGAGGGGAATTTTTTTGATGTTTTATGAGTTTTATGTTTTTCATACATGTGCTCTATTTATTTGAATGTGTAAAGGTGGGTGGTACATATCTGTCGTTCATTTTATGCACGTTCGAGTAATGATGCTTTTTTTCCGTTAAAATCAAGTTTGAATTAACTATAAACTTGCGTTCGGTGTTACCTTCCGATGATTAACACCATTTAATGGTTGTTCCTACGTGTTGAATGTTGGGAGGCCAACCGTAGACTGTTTCCCGGATGACACCGCCACAGTCAACTAAGTGGAACTCATCCAAAATCAGATAAACTGTATGCTGCTACTTCTCAGTTATAAATGAACAAAATTGATATTGATATTAGTGTTTAGTATAGTTGATGTGTTTTTGTTGAAGAATAATTTCTTTTTTTCATTGCTAATTATGAATACATTTTCGCAATTGTATATTTTCTCAGTGAACAAAACATTCAAGAAACAGAATGGGCATGGTGACAATGTTAGGGTAATAGTCAGACATGTTGTTACAGGTGTGTGTCCACATTGAGATCACTTAGACCTAATGTAAAGTCTTACATCTAGATAAATACACACAAAAGATAACATTCTCCAGTGTGAATAGAAAGGTGTCGGGCAGGCCACACTTATGTGTTTTATTTCGTCTGCACTGATGACCACAATGGATGACTGGTGTCTTAGTGGAGTATGCAGTAATAAGACATGTTGTGCGCCACGGGCTGGTGCCCTGTGGATATGACGAACCTTAGACAACGTATTTAATACCTAGGTCTTTGACGACCATGTTTCGGATCAATTAGCCGTAGAGCGGTTATGAAGGGTGACCAGTGATGTATAGCTCGCACTAGGTATAATTGTATGAAGTTCAATTGGTCCCAGACAGGATAATAGGCCGCCCATTTCAATCAATAATAGTACAGTTATAAAGTGAGGAAAATGGTCACCGACTTGTGACAGGCATTGACATAATGCGTATCTATATTGGCAATGTACTTAAAAAACGTGTTCATATTCAGATAAATGTTGATTGTGAATAATCCTATGTGCACATATACATGTTTAGCGACATCATTCACCATATTGTTTGCTAATTGACTTCAGACAATGACGACCGTATGTTTGTCTTTCGTCAGAAAGCATCAGTAAAGACAAGTTGGTGAATGTCAACGTCCTGTGTCGCTAGGAGATGTCGGAATATGATAATGATGAATAAGCAGGCTAGCAATTATATTAGTTGACCGTGACCTGACTTGGTGTTCAATGACACACATAGGCGGCCAACAGAATACCGTGACAGATGGTCTAATCATAAGCGGGTTCAATGTGTTTGCCTGGACCATTGCTGAGGGGGAGGACTCGACAAAACCGCCAGAGAGAGGAATTGTTTAGGAGAGTTGAATGGATGTTTTGGAAAAGACGTGTGCTGTTTCTGACCGTTAGATACTTACTGTCTGTGACTAAAATTAGTGACTGGTATTTGTATGATAACCCGTTTAATTGGACGGTAGCATAGTTTAAGTGTTAGTCGATGTTTAATCCTTGTGCGGATTTATGCAGGTATTTATTTATCTAATGTACAGTGAGTCAGTGAGATGGTTTGCGATTGGTTTTTCTGGTGAAGTGACATGATCTGTTTACCTCCACCAGCCAGTAGCACTGCAGTCTCGGTATACGGTATGAACGAGTGGAAAAGAGCTTTGATCGGAGGCTGTTGGTTCAGACCACGGCCATCTTTAGATATAGATAGGCCAACTGTGTCAACGGGGATTCCCGTTCTTGTGCAAGAATTGAGTCCTTCTGAGTTAACAGTTTTTATCGAGGAGATGTATACACAAATTAAACATTATACATTAATTTTCGACATATTTTTTAGAACTATACGTCATTTTTAAGGTAAATAAGTGTGCCAATTAAATATAATAATAAAGGCTCTTACAGACAAACAAAAATGCTTTTGCTACAGTCAACATGAACATAAACATCAATAACGTTTAGATGTAAACTAAAAGTTGTTCCAGCAAAAGTAAAGAAATATCAGTGATAACTCTTTGATTCTGAGAGGGTATTGCTGCATCAGAGGAGCGGGGGGGGGGGGGGGGGGGTGACATTTGTACTTTATCAAATTTAGCGCATATAAATACTGCTATGAAACATACACATGTCATACATAACATACATATAAATGATTGATGGTTATTATTAATATTAGTAGACTACTACAACATACAATTATACTGTTATTTAATAATTAGTAAATAAGCACAATCAGTATAAAATTTAAATGTGCAATACTTGTTTCACCCAGAATAGTTTTCCTAACAGTACTTATAGCACTACTAAATTTTATCCTCAAGGTACAAACAGCACAAACAAATTTGTCCAGTTTCATATTGTTGGATGAAATCATTTCCTTATCATTGCGAATTTTTTGGTAACAAATATGCAAGGGAAGTGGATGAACCACCAGATATTTCCATAAGAGTTAACAGCCAGTGTTTGCAAAGCAAAGCAAAAGCCAGTTTACAAAAATTAACAGACCGTAGAACTGCAAATATGCAAAAGAAGTGGATGAGCAACCAGAAGTTTCCGCAAGAGTTTACAGCCAGTGTTCGCAAAAGAAAACAAAAGGCAGTTTACAAAAATTAACAAACCGTAGAACTACAAATGTGCAATAGAAGTCGATGAGCAACCAGAAGTTTCCGCAAGAGTTTTCAGCCAGTGTTCGTGAAGCAAAGCAAAAGCAAGTTTACAAAAATTAACAGACCGTAAAACTGCAAATATGCAAAAGAAGTCGATGAGCAACCAGAAGTTTCCGCAAGAGTTTACAGCCAGTGTTCGCGAAGCAAAGCAAGAGCCAGTTTACAAAAATTAACAAACATATAATTATACTGTTAGTCAACAATTAGTAATGAGGCAAAGAGTGACTGGCTGTGAGAAGTTAGTTAGTAAATTAAATATTGTTTTCATCCACTTACCTAGAGCTCAGAAATATCTTGACACAATTTATCTACAGTGTGTTGCACCATTTATGCATAGTCAATATGAAAGCAATAGTTTTCTTCAAACACAAGATAGTTTGCACCTGACAACTGTCGATATTCTCCAGATATGACTTCTAAATTACCTGTTTGTATTATCCCTAAAAGTTAGATTTCTACATTTAAAGTAGAAAAGTAATAAACAGCCTGTTACCAAAAATCAGAACTACTGACTAGAAACAGTGACACTGACACACACATCACAACACGACTGTCTCCCGTGAATTACAACTAAATTGCTGTAATCTAACAGCCTGTATGTCCACTTTACAATATACGCTTGTCGATTTGTAATACGAATACAATCAGAACATAGAAGTTTGTAAGCATTTTATAATGTTACAAAATGCAACATGAAAACGCATGCAATAACCTATTTTCGAGGGAGACTCCTCGAAAATGTGCCGTGATTCAGTTGTACGGCCTGACTGGAGATGGCCGTGGTTCAGATCCAGGTAGTGCATGGAACGACTAGATAACCAATGTGTGAGTGGTGACTTTAAAGCCCTCACGGCCTGTTGGTGTAGGCTGCCAGTCATCTCTGTGGGTAAACTAGCTGCGATTTGTTGTAAAGTAAGACTGGTGTGTATGCTCTGTCGGTGGTGAGTTAGTCGTCTTGTAGAGATAAACATTTCTGCCACGAGCCTGCACATGAGTCAATCGCCTACACGGCAGCAAAGAAGGTTTTTGACAACACACACGATCATGTACAAACAATTATGCAACTCAAACACACACACACACACACACACAAACACGCATGCGCGCGCATACATTTACTTACGTTTAAAACCATACACACTGTCACGCATATATACCAACATGCATAAGTGCACACGTATACATATGTCTACATGCACCCATACTATTGCATACACACATAGACCAACATTCTTACATATGCATCCATGTTTTCAACAAAATACAAAGAATGGTGCAGTGTAAACTAGTCAGGTGAGGGACTCATGGTTCCTTAGATAAGCGGACGAGGTTCACAATTTTGCCGATAGGTATGAGATCAACAATGTTTTACCATGCACATAAGAACAGGTTAAACCCCCTCAACTGACTTTTTTTTTTTTTTCCAAAATGTGGAATTTTAATTTGTAACACTAAATGAAAGTGTATTCATTTCTGCACATACAATTCCATATCTTGTTGTGAAATTCTAGCTAAATGTAATTTTAAATATTTGTTTCAATCGTTATGTTAACTATTTATTTATTTAATTATAAAAGCAAAATATTCAAACTGTCATAACTCAGTTTTTATGGGTCTATTTTAACAATTACTTCGCTCATTTGTAAGAAATCGTGTAACTTTGATGGTCTAATCCCTGTATTCCATGTTGGAACACACAACCTGGAAATTACTGCGAGTGGTGCTGTTACTGTGTGAAATGAAGGGGAACAAATCAGGGCTAAGCTGGGGCACAGTGTTTCTACATTTCGTAGATTTGATAACGTACGTGAAAGAGCGGCCAAAAGGAATAAAGTAGTTAAGAATATGAAAAGAGCAACGTAAAGTATTCAGACAGCTGAAAAAAAAAAAAAAAAACCATAAGGATGACTCACACGCAGCAGCGACTCATTAGGTACAGGAGTTTTGTTGAAATCAGCTTACTCGGTTACTTTTTGGCGATTTTCTCAAAAAATTACTTTTTTTTTAAAAATATTTGTTACTGTGTTGTGCAATAATATATCAGAAAGTTAGTAACATACTGTCTCTAAACTTGGCACAAATAGGAGAATAACAATGAAACAGACTGAAATATAATAAACACAGCAGCTGGAATACATTATGACTTTTGTCATCTGTGATAACACTTACCTGACATTTGGGGGGGGGGGGGCGGGACATTATTGAACCATTGAAGTGAGCATAACTTTTAAACCATAACTTTAATTAAATTTTCTTTAGTCATAACGCTCGAAATATAATGCCAAATTGATGTGCAAATTTTCATTTGGCGACATTTGTTAGTGTTTTAAATATCTTTGTGAATGATGAGAACCAACATGGCTATTTGGTGAATAAAATGTAATCTATTTAATTAATCAAATTCAGTTAGGGGAGGGGGGGGGCGCTTTAACCTGCCCTTAAGTCATTCTATGTTACGTCAGCGTCATCAGGGCCGCTTCCTCTCCTCAAAGCAGAAAAGAAAACACTAGGTATAGATAAAGAACACATTTTCCAGAGATGAGCTGAACATGTTAGTAACATTCTAAATCAGCCCACGTCTGTAAACAACACCGCTATCAGCCGCCTCCTACAAATCCCTTCCAAGAATTCATTGAAGAAGCTTTTACTTCAGAAGGAAAGAAGATGGCAGTTCACCGACTGTCTAGCGATAAATCACAAGGTTCTGATTCAATCATTGCAGACATTATACAAAGCTGGTTAAAAAAAAAAAAAAAAAACTCAATTCTGACACTGAAGCTTCTTGTGATTGTCACCGGGACATTTCCCTATTATCCATCCAATGAAAATACTTGTAAGAATACCCCCAAATCGTCTGACGATACACATTGATGGCGGCCTGCTACCTGAAAGCCAGTGTAGATTCCGGAAAGAAGTGGAAACTTTCACATGGTGTGCGCCAAGAGGCAGCTACAAGAGAAACATGTCAGGAACAACAACGTGATTTGTTGAAGGTTCTCATCCACTTGACAAAAACCTTCCATCGCGTCAACAGAGAGCATCTATGGAAGACCAAAGCAAAATACTACTACCGAAAGAAATCTATCCTAATTGTGTAACTGCGTGATGGAATGAAGTCTAGAACAAAAGAAAATGGAGAACTATCTGCACCTTTCTTTGTCGGAATTGGAACTCTGCACTTGCTGCTGAAGATGAATCGGAGCGCTTATGGGAATGCCCCGAGTGACGTGAGGTCTTTTCCCAATTAAACATTGCACTTTATAGATATATCACTTACCTTGGTCGCAGAATTCTCCTTGGTAGCCAGGGAAGCACTGAGAACAGGCCCCAGATCGTGCATCACAGAGACTATGTACACATTGTTTAGAGCAAGAAAACTCGCAGAGTTCTCCATGTGTGCCCGGAGGACAGTAATAATTTGGAAAGTATTGGCAAGTTCCAGCTGAAACACTGCATGGTAAACTGTTGTCGCAATTACAATGATGTTCGCAGTCAAATCCATATACAGACCATGGACATGACGTTTCTAGGAGACAGAGAACAGAATGTTTTGTTATCTGTATTATTGCCTAGCAAATGCAACACGTGAATCATTCGTTTAAATGTGTCATACATTAAACAGCACCTTGTAGATGTCCAAAATTTTAAAGTCTAAACCGTGAGGCGTTTGTAGTCATGTCAATCCACAGCCTTCTTTCTCATATAATTTTTTTCAGCCGATTTACTTCAATATATCATAATATGTTTTATGTGGGTTTTAGGAATTATCTTACGTCTCTCATTTCGCCCATTTAACCCTTTCCCATTTTCCCTACTTGCATGGGTGTTCTCACATTCCATGTTGCAACGATTAATGAGAGTAACCTGGTGTTAGTCTGTAGCACATGCCGGGCTCCACGAGGCAGCTCTGGAACTACCCTTAACGTTGTTTACCTTTATCGATTGTTGTACAGACATGACTTTTCTTCGCGAAATTCTCACAGTAGGTTTCAATTTCTATCTATGGCAGTGTTCAGACTAAGGAGGGGGCGGGGGGGGGGGGTTGCCCTTGCCATTGTGCCTATAGAGACATCCTCTGCCTATCAAGGCTGAAGTGATGACCGGTATTGAAAACTACAGCTGCTCATCTCATTTATCCATCACCTGCCTGGCATGACTTCACCTAAGCCTGATTGGGGGGGGGGGGGGGGTGAGGGGGCTAAGAGGGTGCTCTACCCTTGCCCATGAGTTATCTTGCAGGCTAGCGGAGGCAAGGAGACACCTTATATCTTCTGTTGGTATTTAAAAATATTGATAAAATCAGTCTCGACGTGTGGCTCTGAAACTTGGAGCCCAACAAAATGAGATGAACCCTTTTTATCAATTTTCTAATACCGAGTCTTATGATGAATCTTTGGACCCGTCAAAAATGCGAACAGCGGGGAATGGAGATGAGATGCTACAAAGAAATTCATAATCTGTTTAAATCACCACTGCTCACTGGCGTCTTTAAAGCTAATAAACTGAAACGGCAGGGGCACACTGAAAGAGTTTCAGATAACAGAGAAGTCAAAACTGTATACACAAGGGAATTGAATGGCAGTAGAACACGAGGCAGAACCAGAAGACAATGAAGAGAGAATGTCCGGACCTGAAAACATTTGGTGTCTCCAAATAGAAAAAAAAAAAATCTAAATAGAAGAAAAAATGGACGCGAGTGATACATGTAGCAAAGAACCTCACAGACTGGGAATGCTGAAGAAGATACATTGTCAACAAGAGTTGACAAGCAAGATGGTATTTTTCAAAACATTAAGCAAGGCGTTAGACAGTGATGTGTACTATTACCCAATTTATTCAATCTGAGGAGTAAGGAAATAATTATATACATAATCGTATGCAAGAAACGTCGGTTGTTATGCATACTGTTTACAATCTGCGATACGGTGAGGTTATATTGTTGTGTTTACTGAAAATCGAACACAACTGTAAGAAATGATAGACATGACTGTAACATAAATTTATTAGAAAGCTCTTTGTATGAACAGCAGAAAAAAAAAAAAAAAAGTAATGGTAGTGCAAATAGACCTTCCGTAAAGCAGGATCAAAGTAAATGGGACACGCCTCAATCAAGCGGATACATTTGAGTTTTTGGATACCAAGATAACATCAGGAGGAGGAAGTTGTATTAAAGATGTCACATGTAGAACAGATCCAGCAACGGCAGCTTTTTACCATATGAAGAATATTTTATGCCATCTGCATTTGTTAATTGAGAAAGAGAATTCTTTAAAAAAAAAAAAGAAAATAGATAAATCCTAACTTGATACACGGAAGTGAATCATGGACAGTTGGTATAATCGTGAACTTTTATTTAAAAGCTGGGGTGATGAGGTTTTATAGATGGACTAGCTGTGCCCTGCCACGCGTCGCTGTGGCCCCGAATAGTAAAATGGAAAAGAAAGAAAGTAGCTCTCAACTAACAGTGTCTGTCATAACCCTCACACCCCCTTCCCTCTCCCCTTCACCCAGTCATATCTCCCTCTCCGAAGGATTGAAAAATCATCCCTGGCGAAAGTATTAAAACAGAAATAGTTAAGAAATGAGAACTTGAAAATAATGTGTTAAGCTCTCTTAGGTAACAGTGTCTGGCATAACCTCCCCCCTCCCCCCCCCCCCCCCAATATATCCCACTCCAAAGGAATAAAAAATCATCACTTGGCGAAATTATTAAAAAAGAAATAGTTAAGAAATTATAATTTTAAAATTATGTTTTAAGGTCTCTCAGTTAACAGTGTCTGTTATCGCAGCCTAGCTGTAAACCACAACAACACGTTCCAACCGCCCTCTCAAAGGCGAACGAAGATTACACGTGACATGACCAACATCCCATCGCCGCTATCGCAGGCTAGCTGTAAACCCCTAAATCGATCGGAAAGAAGACGTAGATATCGCAGCCTAGCAGTGAACCACAATAAAAAGTGCCAAGCGATTAGTTAAATGTCTATATTCATTACAAAAGTTTTTCTGATATCCCGTGCTCTTTTTTTTTTAAAGTCCATGCCATTTCTTTACTTGAGCTGGGTTTGCTAGTCACCCTCGCCATCGTCATAACTCGCAGGCCTCCCAGTTGTACGATATAACGATATAGTTGTGGAAGATTTGAAGTGGCCAACATATATTTTTTTAATGAAAACATATATTTTACCTCATCTGTAACGTCATCAAAAACACGTAACAATTTCGACAAACTAAGACCACTCACCTGCATAAACTTCAACTTCACACACTGTTATAACACGACTTGAACTATTACCCTGATCTGCTTCGATACTGATTAATCTGGCTGAATTGTCCCGCACTAGTGAAATTTCGTAAACTAATAAAGGGGTGTTTTCATTGTCTTTGTATCGGTAAATAAGATCCCCGTTTCCATTGTACATTGAAAGACTGAATCCGGACAGCCGGTCCATATAGGCTGAAGCAAAAGAAAAGATATAATTGTAACTACACAATCCTCTGACAGTTAACGTACCTTTACTCACAATATTTTAGCATTTCAATAAATGTTATTGTTAGGAAAGTGGTTCGATCATTTTAACTGCTTTTTTCTGATCAGAATAGTTTATTACCCAGGATCAGTGGGGTCCTTATGGTTGCTGCAGTTAGAACCTAATTGGACGTTGAACGATGTAAATGGGATTTATCATGACTGAGCTTCTTTAAGGACAGGTTAAACTCCCCAAACTGACTTTTTTTTTTTAAAGTAAGCAAAGGTCACTTTTTGAAAAAAGTCCGGCTCTGCCAAGGAGCGAACCCACGACCTTCCAATCTAGCCATGAGGACTCCCATGTTAGAAGATACAGGCTAGAAAATGCTGTGAGTGGTGCTGAAACTATATGAAATGAGGGGGACCTCGTCACAGCTAAGCTGTGGCACAAGGTTTCCACTTAACCTCCGTAACCTGGATCTACACGCGGGTGATGCGGGCGTAAAGGGAAATGAGCGAGCGGACCAAATGGCAAACAATTGCACTAATGATTGCGGGAAAAAGCATGGACAGAGCAGATATCGTCAACGCTGTACGGACTGGGCTAGTGGATAATGACGAATCCCTGACACTAACACAATTGCGTGACATGGGAGTTAAGCATGGTGAAGCACGTCTTTGCCGTCTTCGAGGTCGAGTAAGGAGACAATATAACCAGCTTCTCATGGGGACAATTAGTAGAAGTACTATGGAGTAGCTGCTGCTTCGGAGGACTGCGCACGCATGGGTATGCCTAATGTGCAGTGACGTCGACTGTGATAACAAAACATAAAATAACATCTTGTAGGGAGTCGGCATTCTGAAACCCAAGTTCAAGGTGTCTCCTTCGTGCCAAAGAACTGCATGGCTGTTGGGTGAACAGTTGTTAACGAAAGTAGTCAGGTCGTTGTAGGGGCGACGCCTGCTGGTGAATGTAATGTCCTAAGTCTCTTCCCCATCAAATAGTGAGGGTACTGCTGGGGTGACTGTTTATTAACCCTCACATAATGCTTCAGGTCAAAATGCCAGGTGGTGGCCGCCGCATTTTTGTTCCATTTGTAGACTGGAAGGATATAGTTTCGTCGCCTAGCTTCTGAGTCTAGTGCATGGCGTGACACTGTGAGCTATGTGTGTTTATCATTGGCACAGGAGCGGAGCAACTATGGGTTGACCCGTTTACTATAAAGCTGAAACTAGGATTACCAGATTACCAGATTACAGTGTTTTCACATTTCGTAGATTTAATAAGGCACTTGGAAGAGCTGCAAAAAAAAGGGGGAATAAAATGATTAAGAAGGTAAAAAAGAACAAGGTAGAGTATTTAGACAGCTGAGCAATACACTAAGGATGATTCATAAGCAGCAAGGACTCATTAGGTAGAGGCTTTTTGTAAAAACCAGCTTGGTCAGTAACTTTTTCGCGAAAAACGTTTTTGATATTTTTTACTGTTGTGCAACGATATCTTAAAAACATTTGTAACATACTGTCTCCAAACCTAGCACACATATAGGATAAAAACATTGAAACAGACTGAACTAGAATGCATACAGCAGCCTAAATACTTTATGAATTTGTGTCATCTATGATAACCCTTACCCCTAATTTTTAAGAAGAAAACAAAACATATTATTGTACCATTGAAAAGAGCTTAGCTGTTAAACCATAGCTTTAAGTGAATTTTTCTCTAGTTTACAATGTTTAAAATATAATACTAAATTTATGTCAAAATTTTCATTTTGCCATCTTTGTTATTGCAATCGCATGGCATCCTTAGCCAGCTATATAGAGTCATTTTTCTGCATGACAGTTAATGTTTGCACCGGTAATGAGGTCAGATACTGCAATGATCCTGCTTAAATTCACTTTGGCTTTAGTAGCTCGCAGACTTCTCACTCGTGCTCTAACAGTCAACGTAACAGGGTAAAGATGGACGACATTGAACGACACGATGCGTTGTAAATATTGTCCATTCACTGGTTTATTCTGTGGCCTGTACATGGTGAGGTATAAAACATAGTCTAGGTGTCTAATATATCGAGAAAAAAAAAAGTCAATGTTACCTTCAAAAGAATACGCAGATGTTTGTTTACACAACAGCAGCTGAAATCGACAAATTTCCTTGATAAGCAAACACAAACAAGTTCAGCGCTGACCGTGTCCGCCAGTTCTAGCTAAAGGCCAGATTAAGCACGCTTTTATTTATAATTTGATCCAAACACTTTCTGAACTCCACACGCACAGTTCCTTAACCCAGACGAGACTGCCTGCTAGATCTTTTTAGGGCATTCAATAATCTTCTGTCGCCCACATTCTTTGTTCACTTTGGCAACATTTTCTCGTGCCAGAGTTCGCCCTCGGTAAAAAAAAATATCTAATTTATATTTATGAATAAAACTGGGAGAAGTGGCGAAAGCATGCCAAAGAAGAGAGAACCTCATATGCATGCTTTGAATGTTCTAAATCTTTGTTCAAGCCTGCAATGATCTTTAAAAATCAGTCCTGTTTTCAGCGTTGAAACAAGGTGTCTGGCGGTGTCGAGCAAGAGTGAAATGAATCGTGACCTTCGAAAGTCCAGGCCGGGAAACTCCAGTGGTGACGTCACTTCCTAAGGCAAACTCAAAATGGATGTTTCAGTGTGTGTTCGGTTTTTTTTTCTTGTCAAAGTTTTTAATGTGGTTTCGTTTTCACGTCTGATTCACCTATAAACGGTATTTCAAGGAGTAGATTTAGTAAGAAATTTCTGCAATTTATCGTCAGTGTGTTGGTTTTCGAGGAACTATGCCTGCTAAATGTTCTGTACCTGAGTGTCGTTCAAATTATGACCTTTCTAGTGGATATATAAGTTGTTTTAGATTCCCTTCGAATTCTCTTTTAAGAGACAAAGGGCTGAAACATATTCCACGGGAAAAAATTGGACTCCTGGGAAAACCAGTGTAGTATGTGTGAAACATTTTCGTACGTCAGATATTATTGTGTCCGATAAATATACCGACAAATCAGGAATCGAGCGTATACTCCCAAGAAAGAATCCCGCTTTAAAAAAAGATGCTTATCCAACCATCTTTCCAGATCCTCCATTATATTTATCGGTGAAAGTACCAGCCTCTCTCAAAACTCCAGAGGAACGTGTATCACATATTAATCGTAACTATGATCAAAAAGCAAATGAATGGCTGTCCTCAGAAATCATTACATATTTCGAAGATCTGGAGTCACAGATAGGAAACAAACTGAAAAGACACTTTGAAAAAAAATTGGAAATACACTTCTATAGATGAAGCTTTAGCATGTATTGTTTTGTATGTCATTACCATACAGTCAGACTCTGAACCATCCATAGGTGTCAGCATAATGGTGTTACTTGATATGACTATACAAGTCTTTGTTCAAAATAAAAAAAAGTTAAAGACAAAGACCTTAAATGGATTGTAGACAACAATAAACTTGTGAGATGGTCACAGCTTGATTCATTACAATGCCTGGGATTATAGTAAAATTCAAAGCTAAAAAACCTTCACAGATTTAGTGGGAGAAGCAGGAAGTATTTTGAAGAGTGCTGGAGAGCAACAGTGGACTCCTAATGGGACAGCTGATGAAGTAACTGACACACAAGTAAACTTTCTTGCAGAGCAGTTGCAACTTTTAACCGTGTTAAAAAACAGAAGGCGTTACAGTTGTAGCACATTATGTTTCGCTTTCATGCTGTTCATTAAATCTCCAGCATGCTACCGGTTTATACGAAAATCCCGTATGTTGTGCCTGCCTCATTAAAGAACACTGTACAATTCAACCTCACAGTTGTGATTGTCTACTCATACTGGCAGCATCTCACAGTACTTGAAATTGAAACAAGACAAACTGACAGAGCTAGAAAAGATTGTAGTGGTTCAGATGGATGAAATATATGTTAAATCTGCAATTAGTTACTCTGGGGGCAAAATATTTGACAATGCAGACAATGCAAAAGAAGCAGTAACAACAGTGCAGGCTCTCCTCATATCTTCAGTTTTTGGAAGCTACCAGAAAATTATAGAACTTTCACCTGTGAACAGAATGACATCTCAGGATCTACGTTTGAAATTACTCCACTGTATCCACTGTGTACAGGAGTGTGGTTTAACAGTAGTTGCTGTAATTGCAGATAATAGTGCTGTCAATCGCAGAGTTTACAGTGATCTTCTGAAACCAAGCCAAACTTTTATTGAGAACCTAGATTTTCCTAATAAAAAAATATTTTTACTGCATGATTCTGTGCACTTGCTAAAATGCATGTGGAGGAACTGGATCAACCAGAAGGACACAAACCAGACATTTACTTATCCATTAATGACTGGACAAATGCTAAACGCCTGTGATACTGATAGAGCTGCCGGAGCTAACTTTTCTCATTTAAAGAAACTGCATTATAGTGAGCAAAAAAATATTGCAAAACTGGCACCTAAACTTTCCCACAAAGCCATCTATCCCTCCAGCATGGACAGACAGAATGTTGCCCTTGCTTTGGACATTTTTAATAAATACAATGTTGCTGCTCTGCGTCTAGTAGGCAGTAATGAAACAGTAGATTTTTTTGAAGCCATCCTTAGATGGTGGCATATTGTTAATGTGAAAAGTAAATTTGTAGGTAAAAAGACACTGAACTCATTCTCAAATCCTGTATTGTCAAATGATGATGAACAAGTGCATTATCTTGAACAGTTTGCTGAATGGCTAAGAAAGTGGGACAAGCTGACTGGCTGTCAAGGAAAACTGACCAAGGAAACACACAGTGCACTGCTGCATACAGTGACCGCAGTGCTTTCTCTAATCAAATATCTATTTGCAACCACAGAAGCCAGTTTTATACTTCTTGGAAAGCTGCAGACTGACAACTTAGAAGCTCGGTTTGGTGAATATCGGCAGTTGTCAGAAGCAAACTACCTAGTGTCTGTGCAGAAAGTTTTAGAAGC